GGTTTATTCTCTTTAAAAAATACATTAAAAAAAAAAACAATCTGGTTGAAAAAGACCAGCATCATCAACATGACATATATCAGGGTATTTGAGGGCCATGTTGGCAGAAACTGTGTGTGGGAGTTTTTTCCCTTTTACTTTTTCACCAGGGGGCCATTTTATCCCAGCCTTATCTCTGGATCCTACTGATTATCATCAGCTCCCTAGGGGCTGGAGTGGAAGCCTTGCTGGGTCACATATTTAGAATCTTACTCAATAGGGCAGCTTAGCTCTCTCTCTGTGCTCCATTTTTTAACTACTGGGGTTTTGATTACAAGACCTCTGCTGCACAGAAATGTTGATGTATATCAACTTTTTTATATTGTTGGAAAAGGAAAAACGTTTTCTAAAAAAGTACTGTATGATAATATGATGTTTACTGTTGGCGGGATAGCCCTGATTATCTCTGTGTGATACCGAAGATGATTTTTATTGTGTTATAAACCGTCTGGCTGCCTTTTTTCAATTTTTGTGCCTCCTTTGCTCCAGAGGTGATGGAAGAGATTTGGCTAAGATATATAGCCTTACATAGGAATTTTCAGCCAATCAAAGGCACTTGATGCCCAGTCAATCAGTATCGTGTACCATACTACTGAAACGGCTTCTGTTCATATGGCTGAACAACCCAAAGACCAATTACAAACTTTTTATTGATTACAATTTGATCAAGACGGCAGGCGAAAGAGAACAAGGGGACGGGAATCAGTGTTTGAGTATTGGAAGTAGATTATCATCTTATTTCTGTCAGTACATGTGGTTCTGAATCAAATTAGCAGAGCTGAGTTACCAGCAATCTCATGCTCAAGTTGTTAGGAAAACTTCAGTCAGAAGGTCACAGCGACTGTTAGGGGTGAGGCTGGATTTAATTTAAAGACTTACACGGATATATATATATCAATGAATGATGTGACTCATAGTCGGAGTCCTGTAAATCCTGTATCTGATGCTGTATTTTGTTAAAGTGGGTTTGCTTTGTTCTGTTACAGGAATTGGTTCAGAGTATGTCCCCTTGCCTGTAGCGACTTCCTGCGACACTGACAGCAGGTTGATGGTTTGACACTATCGGTGAACCAATTCAAGTACACCCTCTGATTCTCTCAAGGTACTGAGGAAAACTGGAACGCTGTCGACAGTTCTAGGACAGAGATTCTGGGGCGGAGGAAAGCGTTCTAGTGTATAGCTGTGTTGTACTGAAACATTCTACTTGTGATAAAACCTTTGTGTGAATTATGGGAAGCAAGCATTACTATATACTGTGATTTGACTTGGATTTTAATGTTGAATGTTCCTAGCTGTTTTGTCAACATTGGTATTAAGCATCAAAGTTCACACATCCAAGGTAAGTAAAGAAGCGTATATGACATGAAATATGTTAGCCCTAATTCAGTTGCATGTCTTTTCCCGAGAAAAATGGCTTAAGAACTTACCATTTTTCATAATTCTACTTTTATAATAGATACAGTATTAAGTTTCCATTACATTTCAAACATGATTTGCGGAATAATCACTTTTTCCAGACAACACATTGTAAGCAAATCTGAACACATTGTGTATTGAGTTTCAGGGTCAAATACGAACCTGGTCCGTTCCATTACCCCCAGCCCACCCTCTCACCCATTCTGTTACACATTAGGACTTGACTAAGGTCCAAAAACCTTTTGTGTGAAACATGATTATAGCTTAACAGATGAAGGTAAAATTAGAACCTTTAATAATTTTATGATGATTAAAATTGGAAACAGAATATACATGCTCTGGGATTCACAGTGATCTCTTTAAATACATTTAAAAAAAAAAAAAAATGAAATGAAAAAAAAAATCCCCATTACATACCATTTAGCAAATAAAGCGAGATAATGAAGTTGTTGCCGGCTCATTGAACCAGCTAGATGGTATATATATCCTGTATAGTAAAAATGATTTGTGTAGAACAACTAGGTTATATATATTTTAACCTCTGATCTTTGTAAAGGGCACCAAATAAACATAGTCGGAACACATACGTTCATTATGATTTTTGAGGAAGGTTTCCATAGAAATCAATGATAAATCTGGCAACACACTTGTATTTCTAATAAATCTGTCAGAATTTGAGGAATTTTGTATAATACACATCAATAATCAGTTGGAATATAGTTACATTAATGCGAATCAGGTTGTCCATAAAATTTTATTCACATTTTCAAGTGGAGTTGGAAAACTGTGTTTCAGATAAATAAAAACATTCTTGGCAGCAAAAGTTTCCCTTCATTTTCATGTATTGGCATTTGTGAAAGGAAATCTGTATATATATATGGGGTGATACATGTGGATTTCAATGGCTCCTTGTGTTTGTACTGGGCCCAGTGAGGCTACTCTTAAAAGTTTCGGTTCCATAAGATAGCAGAAATGGCATCCTGGTGCTCTGCATGGAAATGCATTCCCAGCTGCTGGAGTAGAAAGTGCCAGTTAAAACCCATCATACTTACATAAGGATGGCAACTGTTTAACCGGTGCGCACAAATCTCTTGGTGTATCTGATATGAATTTGTTTATTTGTGGTTTTATATGTCTTCATAACAGTTGAGGTCATATGAGACGTGTCCACTCAGTGGTCATTTTAAAGTACTATTACAATGACATAACTTACACTGATCACTAGTATGACACTCCCCCGGGTCAAGTTTTCCTGATAGCAAGCTAACCACATGTGCCTACATATATAGCCACCACTTGAAAGAAAAGAGTTATTGATATAAAAAAAAAGATAAATTTCCTGTTTGTTTCAATTAGGCTGCTGAGTAGTTTTATACCCCTCAATGCTCCTAAAACGGTGCATTTGGATTAAATATACTTTTCTCTGAAATGTAGGGATATTTGATGAATGACTTCAGTTATATATGTGTGAGGACTGGGGAGGTGCTGTATGACGATGGTGACTGGCATGTTGACACATTGTGTAAACTGTTATCTGTGACTAAACATCACACTNGGGGGGGGGGGGGGGGGGGGGGGGGGATGTTACACTGAACATGTTATCACTTCCTTACCACTGGTGGTAAGACCGGACAAGGTATTAAGAGACTGTCACCTTCTTACTTTGTCATTAATCCTGCATATTTTTTAGATAATTACAGTTCATTGTTGTTTAGGGATGATAGATGTGTTTGGTAAGACACCGTAGGTGTCCTGAGGTAGGATGGTAGGGGAGGGACGAATCATTCTGTGGTCCACCTTAGTCTTGGCTCTGTGATAGATAGCCCCCAACAAGAGGTCTAATTTACACCAAATGTCAGCTTCACAACCTCGGTGTGGTGCTGATTGCTGGTGTATAGGTACAAACAGGAAAGACCGTCTGCTCCCAGAAACACGATCCACATGTCATTTGGCCAAGAAAGGCACTCATCAATCTGTATAAGCTGGTTAACTACAATAGGTAAAAATTACTTAGGATTTACTTACAGAATGGCATTGATTCATAGTCTTGGCTGGCAGACTCTCACTGGGTTTTCTTTGCAGTTCTAGTTACATGAAGTTTTCCATTTTAGATATTTTTGTATTTTAAGTCATATTGAAATATATAAAGAGACTTGACCTCTGACCTTGATACTATCTGACCACAAGAATGACTTCATGGCATATAATGTTTCACCCCCTCCCCCCTGAGATTTTTTTTAAGCAGAACAGGATATTTGAAGAGGGTTGAAGTCCAGTTTGGATTGACCATTCTGGATAAGTGTTGTGAATCTGCACAGCTACAGATAACCACATAGGGAGTTATAGTACTTATCTTGTATTTATACTGTGGAGTGACCACTGTGGGGAATGGTCATTCTGGGTCTGACATGGTCAAACTGACTCCTTTATTAGGACCACATAGGGATACTTATCACACATGCTGCAGTAGGTCTGACAGTCAGTGTAAAGTTTACTGACATGGTGTGATACTTCAAGGTTATAATCTCCGGATGTAAATATTTACTGACTTGTTTAATGGAGGATGATACAAATTACTCCGCAAAGTTGCTGATTTTTGCCACAGATTTTGATTTGATGGATTTCATGAATGCATAATTAATTCTGGTACGTCGCCAATGTTTTATACCTTTAAGGAGAAACTTTCTAAAAAAAATGATGAAAACTTCTTTCCCACAGTTTAAGACTTCTCTGAAAGATAATAACAAAATAGGTATTGAGGAAAAAATAATTGATAAAAAGTTTGTATAAAGCTAGTGACCTGAAATATTAATGACAAGTTAATTTATTTAAGAAAAACACCTTTTTTTTGGTCGATCAGTGATTACAAAATAAAGTCTTTATTTTTAGGTCTGCACACAAGTCTGAGAACATCTGTAACTGGGAAATTGAAAACTATTGTAAATTGCCTATATTTCTTATGTTTGTTATTTTTTCATGTAAAGTTGCACGAAGCATCAACCACAGTTTCATCCATCACACAAGCTGTTGTTTATATGTATTGTAATATCTACATGTTGAGTGAACAACAAATTACATTCCTCCTGAACACTGTGTTTATCCTGTAATAAGCCCGGGGTCCAACTCCTAATCCCCGCCTCAAAGTAGGGGTCGGGTGTATGAAACAGTACAATGTAATATCATTTGTTGGCTGTGGTACTTGACTGTAATATATAGATATGGGTGGGCTTACTATCAGGCATGGGCTTGTTGCAGGGTAAATACGGTGTGTACCGAAATGTAAGTCACCGTATTAAAAATGTGTGAAATGGAAGTATTCTAATAATAGAATAAGAATCATTTTCATTTTACACATAATTGAGGAGGTGTTAGTATCTCATTAAAAATGTTGTAGTTTTTGTTTCCTGGTCATTGCGTTTAGTTTCATTTTCACTACATCAGCCTTAATCTTTTGTTTCATTTTCACTACATCAGCCTTAATCTTTTGTTTCATTTTCACTACATCAGCCTTAATCTTTTGTTTCTTTCCAATCTGAATGAACAATATTGGAATGGTCACTTTTCAGAAGATGTATTTCCAGATTAACGAATTTAATTATAGCTATATCTGATTTGTGTCGATGCCTATAGCTCAAACACCAACTTCTCTCACCCTGGAGCTGAGGGATCCGAGCGGCACAAAATTAAAGATAATGGGATATTTAATGATGATGGAATTAGCCCAATATTGATCCCCAGGACAGAACTGACCATTGAGTGGACAATGATAAATTCCAGCCGAAAGCATTTCCCATTGACTAGAATTGGTTTAGGGTGGCCCTGTAAGCCTACGATGTTCTTGTCCATGGGAAACACTTAAGGCTGGGATTAACGTTGATAAGTGTTTCTGCATATTCTTTATATCGTCATTAGAATTAATCAATTAAAAAATAATAATTAGACCTGCTATGACCAGGATTGAAATTATAATTTTACTGTCATGGAAAGGCAACAAGCAGAAGTAATTTTGTATCACATAGTTTTGCAAATGTTCATTCTATACCCCCAAAGCCATGTGATGTTATGCTCTGATGTGGCTTCAAATGCAATTTACGGTATGTTCCAAACGTTTCACTGACTCCGAGTCAATCCAAGGCATTTGGCTACTCTTATAATAAAACAGTGCTAGTGTAGTAATTATTTTGTTGGTATGTTAAATGATACCTTGTATAAAATACAAGATTTTCCTTAATATTTTCTTAGGATGTCATTTCTGTGTATACCGGTATAGGAATTTGATTAAAGAGCTGGAGTATTTAAAAAAATATGAATGGCCTAAACAGATGCTAAGCTCAAAGTAGACATTCCAATTACATTAGTAAAATATTGAGGTAGGGTAATGAGATTATTCATATGGTAAATAGATTATTTTACCATAACTACAGTTCTCTTTCAAGTTCTGATTGGTGTTGTCTTGACTTCAACTGAAATATGGAAATCTGTCTAAACACAACCCTGTGTAATCTGTAAACTTGTATAAACCAGACCTTGGTCCCACAGTATGCATTTCTGTGTAAACCTGTATAATCTGGATGCCTTTATATACCAGACTAAGTGCTATTGAATACATTCCCAAGTAACCCTACATAATCTGGACACCTGTATAAACCAGACATGCAGCTAAATCCTGCTGTAAATCTTTCTATGTAACCCTGTAAAAACTGGATACCTGTGTAAACCAAACCTTCCTCTAGGTTTTGTTTTTTTACAATTTTGTTGTAACTTAAATCTGTAAACCAAAAACCAGTCTAATCCAAACAAAAATATTGGTCGTGATGTGATATGGTGTTCAGATTGGACAGTTTTCACTGTTGTTAGAGTTACCTTTAAATGATCTTGACAGAATCTATGTATAGAATTAGTTCATCTTGATTGGCCTGTTTT